AAAACTGAAGGAACAAAACAGCAGCAGACCCACAGACTCCAAGAAGGAACTAGCAGTTACCAAAGGTGGGGGGAGGGGGGGAGGCAAAGGGGATTCAGGGGTATTCTGATTGGCACACATGGTGTGGGGGGCATCGGGGAAGCCAGTGTAACACAGAGAAGGCAAATAGTGACTCTATGGGATCTTACTCCACTGATGGGCAGTGACTGCAATGGGGTGGGGGGGACACGATAACGGGTGAATGTAGTAACCATTCTTTTTTCATGTGAAACCTTCATAAGAGTGAATATCAGTAATACTTTAATAAAATAAGTAAATGAATAATTTTTTAAAAAAAGAATGTGGACTCAGGAGCCAGACCCCTGAGTTTTTCATTAATCATCTTTTCAACATTGGGCAGTTACTCAACCTTTCTGACCTTGATGTCCTCCTCCATAAAATGGGGACAGGAATGCTGGGAAGAGTAAATGACTTAAGGTATGTAAAGTGCTTAGAGCAGTCCCTGACACATGGTGGGTGTTCAGTGGGTGCTGTCATTGTCATTTTACTGTTGGGTACCTGTGACCACAGTTCTCCCACTACCTGTCTATACACACTGCTGCAAAACCTTGGTAAGATTGACAGATGTCATTGTCACGAGGCCTCCCCTTGGAAATGACCATGCTTATGCATCCCTGCTCTGTGCTTTAGGTATATATCCACTGTGTGGCCCTCGAATGCCAAATAGTACATGGCATATACTGCCAGTTGGATAGTCCTCATGTTGAGGAAAAACGCAGGCTCAGAAGCACAATCACTTGGCAGGGGTACTTTATGATGTCATCACCCAGACTCTTAGGCCATGCTTTTTGCTTATTTCACTTACTCATATACACATATATACATGTGTATATAATATGCATATTTGTTTCAGATTGTTTTCTAAATGAAAGCACAAAGTTTTAAAAATCTTGAACAGAAAGTTTGAAACACTGCTCTGACCCAGCAGAAGTGGGACTGTAGCAGTTTCATTGTTTCATTTCTATGTTGCAAATTTTTAAACTTTCTTCCCTCCCTCCCTTCCTTATCTTTCCTTCAAAATCTTACCTCTAGCACTAGTTTCCACTTGATTGACATGTCCTAGTCTCATTAGGTCCTGAACACCCCTCCTGATTCTGGTAAAGCTCTGTCAACATGACTTCACCTTGACCTTGGTTTTGAATTGCTGAAACTCTGTAATTTATCACACAAGCTTCTTACTGTTTGGTGGCATTTCTTTAGGCAGTAAGTGACCCACTTATTCTAACAACCAGTCTACTCTGTCATTAAAATCTTTCTATAGATTAGGATTCATTTGTAATTGATAACCATTTTGGTTACGCTATTGCCATAATTTTGCTCCTTTGCTTACATTCTTACATTTGCATACGCGGAGGCTAGGCAGTCTTATCAATGATAATAAAAACAACTGCAGTAGCAAGTTGAGGTTAATGTTTATGGGAAACTTACTTTGTGCTAAACACTCAACTAAGCATTTTACCTATATTATCTCATGTAGTCTTTGTCACGGTCGTAAGAGGTGGGTGCTGTCACCATGCCTGTTGCACAGATAAGGGAAGTCCATGAGCTTTGGGAACTGTTGTGGGGCCACAGCAGTGTGCTCACCAAGGCCAGGTGGACTCTGGAGCCCTGCTCTTAACTCCTCACTACAGAGCCTCCTGGAGTCCACGAGGAGCCGGGACCTCACAGGGGACATTTGTCAAAAACCTGCCTCCCTCGTTCATTACAGAAGGCGACCCCACTGTGTCTCACTGGTTTGGGCACATACAATTGGTGGCACATGTCTCTCCCTTCTCCACCTGAGGAAGCTCCCCCTTTGTTGTCAGAGCTCACTGTGGCTGACTCCATGTACGCTGCACTCCTGGGACTTCCATCCACCTTTTTGTGGAGGGAATGAGGCCTGAGAGTAAGAACCAGCACCCACTTGCCACCCCCACAGCGATTCCACAAAAGCACATTTTTCTCTGATAGATCATCTTTGTTTTTTGAGATATGCTTCAAATGCCATAAAAGTCACCATTTTAAAGTATACATTTCAGTGCTTTTTAGTATATTTACACGGTTGTGAAACATCACTACTACATGATTCAAGCACACTTTCATCACCCTGTAAGGAAGTCCCTTATCCATTAGCTGTAGATTTTCCTATTCTGGACATTTAGTATAAATGGAACCATGCAATATGTGACCTTTCGGGACCAACTTCTTTCATTTAGTGTGTTTTCAAGGTTCATCCAATAATGTTCCATTCTATAGATAATACCACAATTTATCTATTCATCTGTTAACAGGCATTTGCTTTTCTCTCACTCTTTGGCTATTATGAATAATGTGACTATGAACATTCAGGTACAGACGTTTGTGTGGACATGTTTTCAGTTCTCTTGGGTACACACATACATGCACGAGTCACATGGTAACTCTGTGTTCAACTTTTTGAGGAACTACCAAACTGCTTTCCACAGGGGCTGCACCATTTTACATTTCCACCAGCCATGTATAAGCATTCCAGTTTCTCCACATCTTTGTCCACACATGCTAGTCTTTTTTTTTTTAATTACAGTCATCCTACTCAGTATAAAGTAGTATCTCCCTATGGTTTTCTATTTCACTACTATCTAATGACATTGAGCATCTTTTCATGTACTAATTGGCCATTTGTATATCTTTGGAGAAATGTCTCCAAATCCTTTGCCCATTTTTACATTGGGTTATTTGCCTTTTTTAGTTACTGAGTTGTAAGAACTCTATGTATCCTGGATACTAGACCCTTATCAGGTGTATGCTAAGGTTTGCAAATATTTTTCCTATTAGAATAGGAAATGGATTGTCTTTTCACTTTCTTGATAGTAGCCCTTTGAAGCACAGAAGATTTTATTTTAATGAAGTCCACCTTGTCTGTTTTTTATTGGTTGCTTAGGCATTAGATGTCATATCTAAGAAACCATTGTCTGAGCCAAAGACATGAGCATTTGCACCTGTTCCCAAGAGTTTTAGCTTTAGCTCTTTCCTGTAGGTCTTGGACACATTTTGAGTTAACTTTTTTTATATGGTGTGAGGTTGGGGTTCAACTTCATTGTTTTGCGTGGGACTATTCACTTATTCCAGCACCATTTGTTGAAAAGACTAATTTTTCCCCATTGAAATGTCTTGGTGCCCATATTGAAAATCAGTTGCCCATAAATGTAGGGATTGGTGATCTAATTCTTGACTAGCATGTCTGGAAATATTGTTCCCAATTATGATGGTGTATGTAGGAGCAGAGCTCAGCCAGAAGACAGTCAGAGAAAAACATGAGTCTTGAAATCTTCATTTCTGTAGGCCCACATTAAGAGGAGTTTGATGTGTCTTATGGACCAAGACTAAGCCATCAGGCTCCAGACAGCTTCATTGCCACCCGAACCTGCATTTGTCTGTGACGTACTTCACTGGGTTCATAAGCAGGGGTGAGAGAGCAAATAGGCTCACTTCAGAAGCAGAACTTGGATTCTCAGAAGCCTCAGGAGAGGGAGGAGCAGCCACTAGCCAGTATACATACAAGAAGGGCCAGAAGTATGTTTTCAGCTGTGCGTGTATGTACCACTGGCCTTCTCTGGCCAGGAGGTACCACTAAGGGGCTGGAAGAAACAGTCGCATCAGGAGGAGTGAGGAGGTACACACCCCGTAAATGCTTGTATACACACTCATACACCTTGTAAACTATGCCACAGGGCTCTTCTCTTCCCAGGAACCCAGAAAATCATTTTTCAAAAAGTATATACCTCTGAAGTGAATTATCTGTGGGCAGTAGGAACCTTTGAGGTATGGAAAAGATGTGTTAGGCTGTAGTGGGTCTGTGGGTTTGGAAGGTGACACGCTCTCCTTGAACAGAGTCTAGCCTGGCTGCTCTGTGCCCTCTTCTCAGTTCAACCTTGGCCTGTGCTCTCAGTCCCTTTTAAAATATCACCTCTGTGCAACTCCCACTTGAGTTCAATTCATGATGAACTCTTTCCCCATACCATTGCAATAGTATAACACTGATTGAAATTTGTCCTTACAGCATAAAATAGTCTCTGATTTGTTTGTTTTTGACAAGAGAAGGTGTCTGTTACTAGCCTTTTACTTATTTTAGTTATTATCTTTCAGGATAACTCCTGAAAAAAGTTTATTTTTCACAAACTCAAAGTGTTTCTCCAGTCACCTCGGGGATAAGTGCATGTCACCAACATCCAACACCACATCTCTTTTCCAGCTAGAATGACACCTTTCAGGTTTCTGACCTTTATCAAGACTGGAACACCCATAAGCCTACAAAAAAAAACGGATGCTATGTTCCCTGCGAGTACAGGCGGGACTTCTCACCATGTCTGCAATATGGAGGATGCTGAGTGGCACTGGTTGGCTCTTGACACCAACCTCTACTGCCTTCTCTGCTGGAAGCCCAGGAACATTTCACAGATTCCCTTGACAGCAGGGTTCCACCAATAAAATTTACTTGTGTGAAATCCGAAGGGTAGAAAGGAGGTGGAAGCCATTCTTTCCTCCTCTGTGGCGGCAGATGTACAGGCAGCATGTCGGCCTCCAAAAGACCCTGTGAGAGGGGCCAGCAGTGGGCGATCCTCTGTGGGCTGGAGGTCAGGAGGTTGTAAAGAACTGGTACTTGACCAGCCAGGGGAGAGAGAGCCCCAGAAGAAACTTACTTGACTTAATAATCTACACTCCTCGAGGATGATATGTTTCCAAGTTTCCAGGAACTGATGATATTGGGGAAGTGGAGGGACACCTCATTTGTCCTTCTTTGCCCGCATTACCTCTGCAGAAGGAGTGGCTGCCGCGAGGGATTCTGGCCGCAGTCCTGCTTTTCATGCCTATGGCACTTGTTATTTGCACGTAAGTGTTTAACAATTTATACTTTCATTACTTACCAGATGGCCAGGATTGCTTATGAGCTTACACATTTCAAAGAGAGAGAATTATACATTTTATTGTAGGTGGCCTGGGGCAGGCTGGGGCTCCCTCTGTGCTGGTATCTTGTGCTTTGCTCCCTTCCCTTCGTCACCCGACCCTGAAGTCACATTCTTCTCTATTATGACTTCACTGAGTTCCCTGGGACAAGAAGAATAATGCCAAATCTTTTACTCTTCAAAGGAATAGTAAAACTTTTTGTTATTACCTCATTTTAGGTAAGAATTTTAAATTGTCTCTAATCTTTTACCTTCCATCCTTCTCAAGTAGCTTCTGCGCCAGGTTTTTCTCATGTGAGGGACTGATGGTTCTGTACATATACCTGAGCCAAAGCTGCCTTCTCCAGGAAAAGGTCTTCTAAAAAAAATAGAAAGGAGGCATTAATTCCATGCATCCCCTGCTTTCTCCAGCACAGTACTTGATCCTCCTCAAATTTACCTGATTCTTATGCTCTTCTGAGGGTTTATATGGAAGTGGAAAGAAGCCCCTTCGAGGAAAACACAGATACAGAGATAATAATTAGTGATTCGTGCTGTTTTTCATGTCTCTCACAATGTGTATCTCTGACTTATTAGGGCCAAATGGGTACCTCAGTCCACCATCACAAGAAAATCACTAAAGAGCTGGGATCCTGAAAATCATTTCATGCATGCTGAGCTTCAGAACTTCTCCGTATCTGTCCCTTATAGCCCCACGGTGTCTCTGGGGAGACCTTTGTATGTGGCTTGGCATGGAGTGTAGGCAGGATTTCAGTCCCACTCACCTTCTTGGCCACTGGCCAAGTGCCCTTGTGCAGTAAGTGAACTGCTCAAGCACACCGGGCAGAAGCGTTTCACTCTCTCCAGAGACATTCTACACCAGTATCCTTTGGACTCACTCTCACATGTGTCACTTGCTGGTGGGTGGGGGAGAAGGTGCTTCCATTTCCCTACTGCTTTCTCCTACAGGTTGAATCACACCGACTTATTGCTGAGTCCAACTAACTCACTAACTTTCACATGTCAGACTCTCACTGACAAGTGAATGGGTTGTGAGATCAGCTTAAAGATCATGGCCAGCAGTGAAACACAAAATATTCTTTTGAATACAAATGGAATAGAAAAAAATCAGAGTGCTTAATAAGTTTGTTTTAGAAACTACTTATGCCTATGTGGTACGTGTAGTGGGTCATGACATAAAATGGAGCTCACAGCCCAAGCACAATGATCAGTGGAGAAGTCCCCAGTGGGAAGGAACCGTCTTCTTCCCACTACTCACTCTCAGAATGACCATGGGGCAAGATCATTTCCTTTTCTCCTTCTCCATTTCTTTATTGTAAGAAGTAGAGATAAACTCCTGACTGAGGTCTCTCCCAGTTAAAATTCTGTGAGGTTTGGTTAAGGCAACAGAGACTGGGGACCCGAAAGCCAGTAGGATGCAAAGAGATGATTGACAGGAAGGGCTCATATATTCGACCTTCCATTAGCTTTGAAGGAGACTAGCATCCAGGACCATGTGGCCTTCTCTGCCCTTTCCCCTGAGCCTCTGAGCAGTCCTCTGGCCAGGCCTCATGTCCACCCCCAGCAGGAAGAGGTACAACCAAAACATTTCCCCCTCCAGTTGCTTTCCTTCCAAGCCTAGGGACAGCAGATGCGGCTGTGCCGGTCGCATTCTAACTCAGCTTTGGCTGGGGAGCTGCTTCTGAGAGGCAGTAGGTAAGTACTCTTCCTGCCTTTGATGGGTTCCTCACCGTGAAATGACGTGATTGAAACAGATGAGTTCTAAGCTTTCCTCTAGTTCTAAAATTCTACTTTGAAACGGCCAGATCAGTATTTACCTTGAGCCTCCTTCTTCATCCAGCGCTGCTCTTCTACAGGAGAACATCTGTTTTGAAAGAAAACATGATATGATTGTCTATCATGATGACCACTATTTCCAAATCTTTATTCATCTGTTTATTTTAAATCTCATCTACCAGTGGGATGATAACGGTTTTGAGGACAGGAATTCTGTTCTATTTAACTGTCCTTGGACTCTTCCACACTACCTAACTTGAGATTGGGCAGGTAGCTGGCAATATATTTCACTGATTATTTTAGATAACATTCAACAGATCATTCCTAATAAAAACTCTTAGAACTAGGAACAGAAATTATCTGCGAGGATCCAAAACAGCATCACTGTTTTAAATTCAAGAACAAGAGTGGGAAAAAAAAAAGAACGAGTAGGGTGCCTATTATTACTGCGACTATTCATTATTATTGACGAGGTCCTAATCAATGTGATAGGAAAAGTGAAGTATTGTAAGGGAAGAGACACACATATTTGCATTTGAAGTGATGAATAACCTAAAAAGCCCAAGAGGATCAACTAAAGTTTTATTGGAAATAATATCAGAATTCACTAAGATACAAAATCAAGAGATCAATATACAAACCTCAAAAGCATCCCTATATACCATGGATAACTAATTTTAAAATGGAAGAAAACCCCATTTACATCAGCAAAAATGCATAAAGTACCTCAGGGTAAACTTAACAAAAAACGTGTAAGACCTATGTGATGAAAACCTTAAAACTCTTCTGGAGGACTTTAAGAAGACATGAATACATGACCCGAGATACCATATTCCTAAATTGTTGTAAAGATATAAGTTCTCCTCAAATTTACCTACTAATATAAAGCAATCTTATTCAAATCCCATGATAATTTTTAAATTAAAATCTAGCCAGCTAATATTTTTCTGGAAAATATTAGAAAATATGAAGGAAAAGCTATGAAATGTATGAAGAAGATCAAAGGGCAGGAGCTCACTCTATCAGATGTCAAAATAAGTTATTAAGCACCTGGAATTAAATAGTGTGTTACTAGTACAAGAAAAGGTAACTGGATCAACAGAACAGAGTCCAGACACAGATAGTATTTTTGACCAGTGAAGAAGAAATGAAGCATTCAATACAGGATTTTAAAACAATTGGATCTTCATGTGGGAGAAAAAGTTAGATTCTCTGCCTCAACCTAACTGAAGAGCAAATAAAACAAATTCTAGATGGATTAAAAAATGCAACAACACACGTGAACCAGAAGAAAATATCAGACACTGTTTTTATGCCGTCAGGTGGCAGAGGCCTTCCTGCAAACCCGCGCCCGCGGGGCCCTGCGGAGGGACTGGAGGCGGGGCCGGCACGCCTCCTGCTCTTGCCATTGTCCTTCTCTGCCCTGGATCTTTTGTCTTTTTCCCCTAGATTTAGAAAACTTTTACATTAAATATACTAATCCTTTCAGTGGCTTTCACTGAATTTCAATATTTCAAATGTTTCTCAGGGTTTTTATCTTCAAGGAGGAAAAACAACAGTGGATGAAGGAGCACAGACTTTGCAGTTGAGCACAACTGGGTTCTACCATTGTTTGGGGCCTTAAGTTGATCTCCTTTATCTGTGAAAGAGAGACAGTGACACTATCCTCCCAAGAGTGTGGGAATTAAATCAGAAAATGTATGGCAGACATAGTCTGAAGTTTGGAATAAATCAGTACTAAGTTTATGAATGATGTCACAGGCAAGGTGATCAAATCTATCAAAGGCATCAGCTTGTCATATCAGGTTTAGAAGGCTCTTTCCCACCACAAGATATAGAAATATTGTTTATTGCTTCTATTTTTTTTCTAATACTTTCATGGATTCTTCTTTTCTTTTTGTTGAAATATGTTTATTTAAGGTGATAAATAGAGATCTGCTGTTATTTCTCCCCCCACCCCCCCCATATAGTTAGGGAGCTGTTCTATTACCATTTATTTAAATTCTTCCACCGATGAGAATATTAAAAGGTGATATTTCAAAAGTCCTAGGAACACATGGGTCAGTGTATTGCTGGACTCTGTATGCTACTTCAGATCATTGTTAGGTTGCATTATTCCTTACTGTGGAACTGACATTGCCCCCTCTTTCCCCTTTGTACACCATTATTGTCTACCACAGGAAAAATATTGCATGGTCTCTGTCCTCAAAAAACTTATCATCTAAGTGAGGAGCACAAAGAATGAAACCATATACATACTTACATATATATAAATGCGAGGTTAAACTACATGGACATTAGAAGCACTATGGAAGCTTATATGAATTCCAAAACAGCAAAAGGACTTCTGCCACCTGTGGTACAGTGGTCACTGCCTGGGCAATGGCCAATGACTCCCTTCCCAGAGGCCTTGGCAAGCTGACCCCATGCCAGTTACCAGTCTCCTAGGCACAGAGACTCTCCAAGAAAGAACTCACTTGGAGCAATCTCAACTGATTAGTATCACAGGATTGATAAAAAGTCAGAATGCCAGAGTATGACTTGACAATGAGAAATATATCTGTTCCACACACAGACTAGCTGTGTCTACACAATCAGGGGGTTTCTGGTCATCACCAGGGAGAGGCCTCTGGGGCACACTAAAGCGACCTGACCAAGCGACCTGCAGGTACACATTTCTCTTTAGCAGTTCATCCATCCAGTCAGGTTTTACTCAAGGTAGATAGGCCAGGAAGCCATTTGGTCCTTTAATATCTCTACTCTGAAGTTTTGCCCTCAAGGCTGTGCTCTTGTTTGCCTTCTATTGCCCTAGACTGAATGATTATATTATTGTACAAAAGACAGAAGTGCACTTTAAAATATTTAGTTCACTTAAATGTTTCCATGTTTATAAAAAAATATTTCAACATTTGTGTTCTGATCAGTAAAGAAAATAAATTGTTATAACCCTATAAAAATAACTATCTCTGCTCTGCTCCACCATGTGTTGACCTTGGTGTTTCTCTCTTGGGGAGCTGCCGTTAAAAAATTGCTTATCATATTAACATCGCAGGGAGAGGAATGCCTCACCATGGCCTCTAAGAACTGTTAACAAGTCTCACAGAAGGACTAGGACCAGGAGGACTGGAGTGTTTAGGCAAGGGTTCATGGAGAAACATGAACTTGAGTTGGCTTTCAGAGACTCAAGGGACTTCTGCAAGGCGAAACAAGGGAATTTTAATGGGCAAAGGAACAGACAAAAGTAGGAAAGGCATGTGACTGGGCATCCTGGGGAGCTGCTCTGGCTGTAAAGAGGGCTGCTGCAACAGTAGAAAAGGTACAGATAGAAAATGAGTTTGGGTTTATCAGGTAGAGTCAGGATTACCGGCTAATTAAATCACTCTGTTGTCAGCCCTGCCTGTTGGGAAAAGTAACAAACCATTCTGTTATTGCACAAAAGGCAGGCAGGCAAGCCAGCTCCAGAAGGAGCGTCAATACCAAGTGCTTTAGAAACCCTGACATGGGCTTTAGCTGCAGTGATCTGACTGAACCTATTTCCACAATGCCTTACGTGATGGGGAAGAAAGTTGCTAAGTAAATCTAATGAATCAACAAGATCACACTTTTATCTTTTAGCCGTGTCCTTTCTTCCAGGGTGACTGATCGCTCTTCAGGGTGGAGATTACACATCCCTCATAATTCCAGTCAACAAGGAAAGAAATCAGTGGTAGGATGGGAATGACTGATGTCAAATCGACTTAGTTTTGAGTTGAAGATATTTTACTGTCATGTCAACTCTGGCCTTCTTAAACCTCTCAAAACAGTCTAATGGCTCATTATCTGGTGTCAGTTCCACAGAGATCTCTGGCAAGGGGGGTTCCTTTAAAAGTCTCTGGCATATACTTTGCAAGAAGAGAATAAAGCATATGTCGGTCCTGGTGACTAAAAAGGAATATCAAGTAGTAAGAGGTGGGAGAGAGGCTTTGATTTTCAGTTTGTGGATTCTGAATCTAAAGACAGACTCTCCTCTGGAGGCCAGAACTAACTGTCCTTACCTTAATGAGGCAGAAAGCTATAATCCACAACAGCACTGCTCCTGTCACTGACAATGCCAAGATGACTTTGATTTGATACCCATGCACCAGAGCTTTTGGGAACTGAAAAAATAATGGAAAAAGACTTTTCAAAAACAAAGAGGTGGAAAGGATAAAAGCTCACTATTATAAAATCTCATTATTTCAGGTAAGCAGCGTAAATGTTTTTCAAGAACATACCAAATCTAATGCTAATGATAAATCAGCATTTTCTTGCTTTATCTTGGGTGTTAGGTCCCCTCCTCATCTACACCAGTTGTGGCATCATTGTCTGAATGAGCACAGTGGGAGATCACTGTCCTCCCCAAAGGCCCAGGGCAAGACAAGACACAGACTAGGGGCCGCGGTCTTCCTGCCGGGGTGCTTCAATGCCATGTCCCAAACTGACTAACAGGCTGGGGGCCATGTTTTGGGCGTTATCCTCACCTCACGGAACTCCTGCTCTTCCTGTTCACTCTGGGCTTCTGGACTCTCGTGGATGTAGTTTTCTGTTTCCCTCTGGTCTGTATCCCAGTCTGCCCTGGGCTCCTTTGCTTCTTGCTGCTCGCTGAGAAGCTTCATCAGGAGGCCGGTTTCGAAGATGAGCTTGGCACAGGCTGGTTTCAGGTGGGTCTCCGAGCAGCCCATTTTCAAAGTCCAGAAAACACGAGAAATGAGCCTTCTCACATCACTGTTGGTGATGAGGGACCGCAGCTGCTCGTTTAGCTGAGCTTCTGGGTGGTCACCTGGAGATGAGCTCCCTGGGAAAGGGAAGGCTGTGGATGTGGAGGCTAAGTCAGTGCCCACGTTGTCGTGTTCCTGTTGTGTTTCCGTGGTCAGTTTGGGAGTTGGATCCAAAAGAGAAAATAAATCTGGAAAGTGATTTTTCTGAGAAGTCAGTTCTGACGATGAAAAAGCCTCTTGTGAAGGGGAGTTTATAAGGCTCATTACAGTGAATGGAGGCTTGTTCACCACCATCGGACTATTGTGTGAACCTTTACTGCTGAACTGTCTACTCATTTTGGCCTTGAGTATTTTGTGACCCGCATGCCGCAAAGATTCTGGAAAGAGGTACTTTTCTCTGAAGTGTGAGGTTGGTTCAGAAGCCTTCATATTTCTAATGCCAGCACTTGCATCTTCTAAAACAAAAATACTGTCAGCTAGGTCTTTCGGTTTTAGTTTAATCTCAGGTAGAGATTTTGGAGTATTGGAAGCAGAAGGCGTGCCCATCAAGTACTGGACAGAAGGGACGGCTGCCTCCTGTTCCCCTCGGAATGAAGACTCGGGGTTGAAGGAGCTTTCTGCGGTCTCCCTGGGGGGCTGCTCGTGAGGCTGCTCCGGCGCCCTTGGGGATGCCGTCGTGAGCCCTTTTTCCTCGGCCGTGCTCTCCGCAAGGAGCTGGGCCCTCTGCTTCCCGTTGATGCCAGCCTTCGTCATTTGTCTGCGTTGCCTCTTCCGAATGCCCTTTGGGCCCTTGATGACCACCTTCAAAGGCCCCGGCCTCCTCCCTACTCTCTGAATGTCTGGTAGGCTGTTTTCTTGTAATTGGGCAGTTTCCAATGTTTCGGTGGAGATTTGGGGGTGAAATCTGGGATTCGGAAGTTTGGAACGTAGAGGCATGGCATCTATGATATCTTCCAGATCAGAGATTATTTTCTGTTTATTTTTGTCAGCTGAAATGGTGGATCCAGGTGGAAGAGAAGTGTTCTCTGCGTTGTTTTGCAAATGCCCCACAGGCTCATCTCCTCCTTGTAAGTTTGAAAGAAGTTGTTTAATGAATTTTAATAATGCTGAAACTGCACCTTCCATCTGTCCAGAGAAAGAAGATGATATGTATCCAAGTGCACTAACAACACTTTCCTTGCTAAAGTCTCCTTGCTCACTTTTGAAGGCTGACGAACTGATGGCATTTTTGTCTGCGGCTGCCTTCTCTGGCTCGATAGTCAGCTCAGGGCTGCTACTCTCCTTCCGGGATAGTAATGCCTTCATGAATGACCCTTCTGGGTTCCCTATAGATGTTTCATCATCTGTCAAAAAGAAGAGATTGCTTTTCATCTTCCTACGCTGATGGACAGTGACTGCAATGGGGTTGGGGATGGACAGAGGGGACTTGATAGTATGGGTGAATGTCAAAACCACAATGTTGCTCATGTGAAACCTTCATAAGATTGTATATCAATGATACCTCAATTTGAAAAAAAGGAGAGACTGCTTTTGATAATGAAAGACTGATGAGACAGCTTTTTGTCAGTCGTTAGCCATATATCTCACTCAAACAGATCGGGAATCAGCAAACATTTGAGGTTCGATTAGGAGAAAAATAAACACAAACTTAAACCTATGTTTGGCAACCACAAAAGGAGAGGAATATGTCTTTTATAAGACCCGTTTCCTGCTAGGAACACTCCATAGTGCAAAATACAGTACTACGTGCAGGATTATTCCATTGGTCCCCAACAGCCAATTATCCAGTGCTCAAGAAAAGCCAAGGCTAGAAGGCAAATACTTCCCCTCGGCTAGATTCTCTGCAGATCTAACAGTGAGTCCTCACGTTCACATACCCCATCCTGTAATGCTTCACATGCAAAGGGAGTGTGCAGCTTTCTCTCTCCACCTCTGCAGTGTGTTCCTGTTCTTGCTACCATCACAGATGAGCACACCACCACCACCCACTGCAAACAAGTGCCCTTCTCCATATGCCCTTCCCCACCTAAGCACCTATTCCTTTGCTTGGTCCCTGCTTCCATATATCCCAGCCCCCATAAGAGAAGGCTCTATACAGGGGAAAAAAAACAAAAACAAAAAAACACCATGTCTACCCTGGCTCTGCTTAAATTTGAGCAGGGATCTGGGGTGTGGGTTAAGAGAGCTGTCAGGTTGTTATGTCAATGTGGAATATTCAATAAATCAATCGAACAATACTTGAGGTCCTAAAATGCAAAAGGGACAAAACAAAATTTTTTCAGATGCCTGCTTTGCTTTCATTTAATTTCATTTGTAGTATTTCCAGCTTTACTTGGGGAACCATCCAAAGCTTCTGGCTACGTCAAGGCCAAGGGCACCTGCACAAGTTCACTGGCCAGCTGGGTTTATTTTCCAGAAGAATTACAAGTATTTTTGGTGGTGGTGGTGAGGGTCAGAGGAGGAGGTAAGGGTCGTGAGGAAGGAGGAGCATGGGCTTGCAGAGAGCCCCAAACCGAGGCTAGCACACCTGACCTCTAGGCTACAATATATAACACTTGGATCTCATTTTTTCTCACCTATAGAAGTAGAATGAAAATGTCTATTTTGCCCACCTTTAGTGGGAGAAGGGAGTGATATAACTGGCAAAAAAAATTTTTATTTTAAATAAGCAACATTGTAGTTATAGAAGAAGCAAAGTATTACTTATGATGTGCCCCAGATCATTTTATGATGTGCCCCAGAGACCTGTATTCAAGCTATCTGAGCATGAAAGCATATTTTGGAAGTCATCACATTAGTGCCAATAAAACGTACTACATAGAAAAATACTTAAAAGCACCTGAGTGTTTTGGGGGATAGCAAGGCTTCATTTCAATTCAGAGCAAATTTAGAGTTGGACAGTCTAAGAACAGAAGAGCCTTCCCATCCATTAGAAGGGCTGAGCAGCAGCTTCTGGCTATAGAACCAGAAACTCTCAGGTTCCAAAGAAAACTTTCATAAAATAGCACTACTTGTACTCCTCTATAAAAATTGCAAAAACAAAAAAACAAAAATATATCTATACTTGTCCTACAAGACAAAGGGTACGTGAGACCTAATGCATATAACATCAGATTGTGAACCGTAATACGTGTATGAGTAAGTTCTCATTCAGGGGTTAAGCACCAGACAGAGAGCACAGTACACAGGATGTGGCCACTAGTGTTCATTCTTTCCCCTTCCATTCCTTTCTCTTGTTCCTTTAAGTATGTGGATCACTGTCACTGTTAGCTTAATAAGGTAACTGAGAATCTGACTTTTTAGCAAAGGAGTAGTTCTTAGAAATGTAGGGAGTTGAACTCTTAATGAATTGATAAAAATAATGCAATTAACACCATTAGTTTAAAGATTAACAGTTAAAACATTAATAAAACATCATAGGGTAATGGTAACTCACCACAATATGCGATGTTTGTCAGACATTCACTGTCACAATGCAGCTTGACTGTACTGTAGAAAACCTCAATATTATTTTTGAATTGGCAGAGGCAGCAGGTCATATGGATTGGTAAAATCCTATAAATTGAAACACGGAGAATTGAATCAGTGGGAAAGGAGTTACTTGACTGGGTAGAAGAGGCAGGCCCACGCCACCCACAGGGCTGTGCAAAAGGAGTTCTTGGCACATATGGCCTGTGAGGTTGGCTAGGGATGAGCTGGCCAACCGCTGTTCTTGAATACTGTAAACAAACAGGAGGACAGAGATGCCTCACAGGCCTAACAGTAGGGTAAGAATGGAAGTGGGTATCATAGGCCTAGAATAAAGCTGATAGGGATTAGAACTGGGTGACACTGAGCTGTTAAAAATAAATGATATAATGGAGACAACTGAGGAAATTTGAATATCAACTCTTCATTAGATAACATTATGCATAGGAATTTCTTCAGTGTGCTATTAGTATTTTAAGTATATAGGGAAATTATTTGGATACCCAGAGAGGAAGGCATGTAGCTGACAATAGACAGACTGACTGGCAGACGCTGTGGGACATTGATGAAGACGAGGTTAGAACAGTGGCCAGTAGATCTGACGGTGAGGGGAAGACAGTCATTTCTCAGCTGACCTGACAAAAATGGCGAGAGCAGACTGCTAAATGCAGGGGCCTTTCCCGTACTAATCTTGTGCAAGGCCATCAGTTAGCATAATACCAAATTTCTGTTGGCTTTCCATAATGGAGGGGTATGGCACAATTTACAGTGCAGTAAGTTTTGTAAGAAATTGTCAGAAAGCCCTACAGAAACATTTTTTAAACTGAAAAGATAAAAAATGAGATTTGACCCTTACCTCACATTATATGTGAAAGGAACTAATAAAAATGGATCATAGATAGACCTAAATTAATTAACCAGCAAGTATTCAACTTATTGAAAGAAAACTAAGAGAAAAATCTTTGTGACTTTGGACTGGCAATAGGTTCCCAGACAAAGATTTCTTAGATAAGACACAAAAAAGGCACAAACCTATAAGAAAAACTAGAGCTAATCAAAATTCAAAGATTAAAGACTTCTGGTCTTCAGAGATACTTTTAATAGAATGAAGACGAGCTATAACCTGAGAGAGGATATTTGCTAAACACATATCTGAGAGAAAGGACTTTTTCCAGCATATATAAAGCAGTCTTAAAACTCAACAGTAAGATAAATATCCAATTAAAAAACAGATTTGAACAGACATGCCATTAAAGAAGATGCTGCACATGTATAGACAACACCATCAGAGATCAGAGATCTATTAGAGAAATGCAAATTAAAACCACAATGAGACACAACCACACACCTCCAAGAAAGGCTAACATTTGTAAAACACTGAATATAAGGATCAGGTGAAGATGTGGAGCAACAGCCACCTCTCATACACTGCTTTCTGGAATGTAAAATGGTGCAGCTACTTTAGAAAACAGCTTAGCAGTTTCTTCAAAAGTTAAATACATACCTAGCACAAAGACCTGCATGTGAATGTTTATCATAGCTTTTTATAGCCAAAACTAGAAACAACTCAAATGTTCGTTAATTGATGAGTAGTATGGACCTCTACTCAGCAGTAAAAAGGAGGGACAGCTGTGACCACATGGATGACTCGCAAAAAGATTATGCTAAGTAAAAAGAGCCAAACACAAAAGGTTACATGCGATATGAGTTCACTGATAAGACCTTCTGTAAAAGGCAAAAACTGCAGGGACAAAAATCAGACTGGTGGTGGCCGGGGGGCTGGTGGTGGGAGGAGGGGTTTGCCTGCCAAAGGCCATGAGGGGCCTTTTTGGAGACAACACGAGTTCTGCATTTCCAATGGTGGTGGTTACATTATTATACATTTGTTAAAATTCATCAAACTGTACACTTAGAAAGCCAATTTTATTACATGAAAATCATAGTTCAATAAGCCTGACTTAATAAAATAAGGACACTTAAAAAAATCAACCAAGTGAAAATCAATATAAGAAAAATCAACTTACAGTTTTTCTAACTTGGGGCTCATCATGACGATGCTCTCAACTGTTTTTAGTGTCACTTGGGTTTTTCCCATGTCTCTGAAGGAAAAAGCACAAACGTTTATGATACAAACCCAAAGACAAAAACTCTATACTTAAAAAGATACTTAATGACACATTATTACTTCAGTTTTGGCTTCTCTATCTAGGCAGCTCGAGTTTACCTGCCACAGATGATAATTCCAGAGAGAAATTACTGAAGAAATTTAAATTTATTTGCATCATCAAATTAATGACCTTGGCCCTGAACACTACGATCTTTTTGTCATTGCCCTGCTTTTCATTCTCACCTGCACCCACCACTCTAGATTATTATTTTTTTAAATACACCTTATTCCTCTTTGCTTTCTGGGATAAATTATATTTCTACATGCATCTGCACATTCCATATCTATGTGCGTTCTTCAGCACCACTCTCTTTGACTGATAGCTTGTCTTGCACATATACATTCTTTCTTAATCCTTTCTTTGCCTAAAACTCTTATTTCAATAACCCAGGTAAAATTAAAATTCTTTTTTAGCCAAAATGCAAAATACTTAATGTTTGATGAAAGTAAAAGAACAGAAATCATCTCATAAACCATGATATTGTTGTAATACTTACAAATATTTTAATGCTCTCAATTTGAAAAAATAAGAATCTTCAACAGTTGTCAGAGGATTATGACTGAGGTTTCTGAAAAAATGCAATGGAATTAAAATTATGTGCATTTCACGAAACTTGCATTCATTTTCTTTTTTTTGGTATAGGACTCAAAGGTTAAAAGAAAAAATTCGTTATCTGTCTTTACCTATAAATCACACTTAGAATCTGTAAAGCACTCTTACTTTGGGAACTACCTACCTAGGTCTCTAGATGATAAAGGGGAGAAGAGAAAGAGGAAAAACACAGAAAAAAGTGGAAAGCAAAAACTTTCCAGATTGAGAATCCCACAAAGTGACTATGGTGGGAGGAAATCCCGTTGCTCTGAAGGAAATCGTATTCCTAGGTCCTCCATAATCCAAGGTGCTTTTCTTTCAGTTCTGGAAATTAAAACAGTTCCACAGTTTAAACCACGCAGTGACAGCAGGACCAGTTCCTTGCTTTTGGATCCAAAGAGAAAGGGATAAACCTGAGAGGAGGTGGTAAAACCTCTGCTCCCATCACAGCCTTGGCTACACTGCACGCAATCACCTGTTCAGTTGTCAGTCTCCTGGATTGTCAGCTCCTTGACGGCAGGGACCACACTTTACTGTCAGTGTCACTCCTGTGCCTGACATGGTGCCTGATGTTTACTAGGTATTTAATAAAAGTTTTTTGAATAAATAAATAACATTTTGCTTACACATCAATAAAATGAACAAATTCATTTTGGATGCAAATTTTTATTCCAAAATGCTGAGATTTTCTTCTCAATTCTTTAAAACAAACAACAGACCAAAGGGAGAAAAAAAACAGGAAGGAAAAATCTTGAAAATTAACTTTTACTCAAGAATCATTAGTACATTTTGCCGAATATTATTATCACAACTAATATCTATTGGGCTGCCAGGCATCTTTGATCAGCTTTTCACATTTAATCCTCACAATAACCTTGTGATAGATATTATTATTATTATTACCCCGTTTTACAAGTGAGGAAACTGAAGTAAAGACAGGTTATATAACTTGTCCTAAATCATCAAGCTAGTGCTAAGAAGCAGAACTGAAATCTGAACCAAGTTCTGGTTCCAAAGCCTGGGGTTTAACTTGTATAGAAGAAAGGGATTTAAGACAGCCTTTACTTTAACCTCAATTTTGACAGCACTAAATACAGAAAAAGCTTTTCAAACGTGATCTACCCATCTGGGAAACCTCTATGAGAATTACATTTTCTCTTTTTATTCCTTTTCCCTAATCATCTCCCATGCTTAAATATCTAATTAGCCTGTGGTCATTGAGACTTTAGAGATTGAAAACCATGTTGCAGGAGAATCAGTGAAAATGATGGAGTAAGGACATCTGAAAACGTATCCTATAAAAGCAACAACAACAACAAAAAGCTAGCAGAAATGGCCAAACCAGCTTTTTCAGAACTCTGGATATTTAATCAGTGGGCTTACAGCAATGTGGGGAGCATTTATTCAAGAAAAACATTAATTTCTCTACAAACAGTGAGACCTGTGTTGCTTTAACTTCTCCTAGACCTTTGCTCTCTGTCCAGTGGTAGCTTTGAAAAACAGCCCGAGGTCCTTCAGAGCCTCCTTCCCAAAGACTTGTCTCCGTGTTACTGTCTGGTGGTGCCCTGGAGGACCTTCCCTGAAAGGCTTGTCTTTGACCTGACTGGGAGCTGCCTAGTGCTAAAAGCCTCTCCTCAGGGGGCATTTCTTAAAACAATTACAGGTAAATGGTTTAATGTGGTAGGTGTGTGAGGCATTGGACAAAAAATAGTCGAACCAAAAGCTTAAAAGGACAAGCTGAGGGAGGAGATGTTCACAGAGACTTTGAAAGGCTCCAACACATTCCTGGGAAACTGGAAGCCCATGAGACATAGTCCTGAGAATCTGGAAGAAAACCATCAGCACTGAACAATGAGGTCAGCAGGGATGTGGAAGACAAAATGAGTGAGCAAAAATTAGCTGTATTTCTGTACACTAGCAGTGAACAATCCAAAAATGAAATTGAGAAAACAATTCCAAGTCTAACAGCATCACAAAGAATAAGTCTCAGGGAAAAATTTAGCCAAAGAAACGCAAGATTCATTCACTGAAAACTATGAAACCCAGTGATTTGCCTGTGTCACAGAGCACTCGAGCAAAAGGGAGGAAAACCCCCATTCCTTATTGGATAGTCAGGAAAGAAAGTATACGGAATGAGGCTACAGCAATGTATTTTCTTTATGACCATTTTGCACACGACAGCTTAACACAAACATCTTTTTCCATTCCTCAAAGGTTCCTACTGCTCACAGATAATTCACATCAGAGGTGAACACAGTTTGAAAGGTATTTTTCTGGGTGACTGGGGAGAGAAGATCCCTGTGGCAAGTTTTCAGAACTCCTTTCATTTAAAAGAAGCTGATGGCTGAGGAAGCACCGACACCAGTTGCTCCCTGGAGAACTTTGTGCTAAACCTAGTTGTTTCAGCGCTGCGTTCCAAGAGCAGGAAACCGTTAGGTTCAGAAGTGGAATTGCGAGGCCCACCCACCATGGAGAGCGTCACAGTCGTGGATCCCTGTGACAATGCTGGCGTGGGTGTTACACGCTGGAGTGCGGTTGTTGCCTGTGCGAAAGATCAGGAAAGCGGAGCCTGCCATGTATGGCTCAGACATGTCTCCTGGCCCCTCTCTCTGTACCTTCGTTTCCTCATCGCAAAAAAATGGATCTTAACACAATTTTTCAGACTGAGCTTACCCGCTGCTAACCAGTAACTGTATCATGTTTCTACACATCATTTTTTTTACACATACTCATCTTCTATTTCACTTACAATGTGTGCAAGAACTGCATTCCATGCCAGGCCTGAAATGTTCCAAAGCTCAGTTCTGTAATGAGATTGCAGCCAAGATTTCTACAAAGAAAAAGATACAAGAAAAAGAAGAAAAAAATTATTTCAGAACATTTATCCCTTGGCAGGGATTCTAATCTGTATATGATGAAACATAACCTCAATACTTCCTCATACACTAAAGAAATCTCACTATGGAAGATATTTGTTTTATTTTTAACATTTGTATGAAAAAAAGATTGTCTATCAGGTATACTGGGTTTATAAAAAGGAGAAAGATGGATTAGTAATTGACATCTAGGTTTTTTCCTGGTATCAGTGGTATTATTACAGAAAATATGAATAAAATAAATAAAATATATTTGTATAAAGATTTATACTTCCATGTTTACACATGTATTGCTAGATACAAAGGAATAAGTTCTCAGAACACACTCATCTAAGTGATCCTTAATTCTCTAGAAAAGAGTTCCATGACTGCACTGTTGACATTCTGGGCTGGATAATCCTTGTTGTGGGCACTGTTCTGTGCACTGTAGGCTGTTGAGCAGCATCTCCGGCCTCTGCCCCCCAGATGCCAGCAGCATAGCTACAGTTCTAACAACCAAAATGTGTCCAGACATGGCCTAGTGTCGCCTGGGCACAAAATCACCCTACTTGAGGACCCCTGCTCTAGAATGAGTCACTCTGATCCATATGATAATTCTTACACCAGGGTTTCCTAGACACAAAAAGGATGTGGCCACATAATTTTAGTAGCTCTCCATTTAAAATATTTCAATATTTCAAAATGAATAACAAAGAGGTTTACAATTAAGTTTATAAAAATTCCAAACACAATTAAATTGTATTTGTAACTTACATAAACTGCAGAAAAGGTAGTGATTCGAATGTACGTCTTTCAATAGATAGTATTTTATTGCAGGATAAATCTCTAGGAAAAGGAAAAGGAAAAGGAAAAATATTGTCTCAGCTATCAGATATCTAATTAGCAGAGATAACTAGTAGAGGTTAGAATAATCACATTGAATAAGTAGTTCTTATCTAAACTCTAGAACTTAGAAATTATTACGTGAACCTTCCAGAGCCCCTATCCCTGCCCTCACCTAAGTCTCACTTTCATTATCTTCATAAATAAAATATACAACCATAGATCTTGAGAGATTGTTGAGATAATCCTTCCTGAGAGCAGAAGGACTGATTAGATCAACTTTTGTGGTCCCATCAAATTCCATAGTAGGAGCTCAAAAGTTTTTGTCTCCATATATAATTTCCAATATTGAAAGGAATATTTTCACATTTACAAACCTTTCTGGTTTTATTCTGTCTAGGCCATTTCAACACCAGAAAAAATAAAATATGAAAGGAAGTTACTCCTCTAAGTAATAATTACTTTAAACTAATTCAGAATTATACTTTCTATTATTTTAATGGAAGCTCCTTTTTGGTTTCCATTGCTTTAATATTCCATGAATTTAACTGCTTCAGTTGTACAGTGGTGGGACAACAAAAAACAACAACATGGTATTGGATTTTTATTTTAAATCACTCACTCTTGACTATTACAGGTGACTCTCTTATTTCTATTGGTTCAGGCTTAATCCCTCACTTTTCACCTAGATGCGTATTAACTCTTCTGAAGGGTATGCCTGCCTCTGGTTCATTCTTTTCTAATCGGTCCTGCACAAAGTCACCACATTAACTCTCCATGAGTGGTTCTCAAATACCAGCATCGCCTGGGAATTTCTCAAAGATGTAAATTCTCAGCCCTACTCGGGACCAACTGAATCAGTAACTGTGGGGTGGGTGCATGTGCTGTGAGAAGCCCTCCAAGTGATCTTCCAGCAGGCTGAAGTTTGTCCTGGAGTGCTGCCGGGATAACATGACAGCTTGTTACCCTTGGCTTGGCCTTCGAAGCCCCAGGTCTGGCCCTAACACCTAATGTACTCTATAAGGACAAGGTATTTTTCCCGTGTGCTGCCCTTCTGCCACTCTTCTTTGCAAACTTATTCTTCCCAAGATGTCTCTCTGATGATACCCAAAAGCCCCTCAAGCTGCTGCCCTAACAGCGTTGCTCTTGTAACATCTTTTTTTCCAACTTGAAGTCTTTTTCCCCACTTTTGTGCTCCCTGAACAATTCATACTTCTCACTGCCCACATCCATTTCCTCTTTTCAATATAGTTACTTTTACACCCATTTCCTCTGAGCATAAACTTCCTTCTTACTTACCTGCACTGTCTACCATGTTTAAAACTGATGCATGGACATAAACTCAAATATTTATAAAATGAATGAAGAGCTGGGCAGTAGAAGAAAAGTGCTCATTTAAAAATAAATGGCTTTTCAAATAGCTCCCTCTTCTGTGCCTCTGCAGCACTTTGTCATTCATTCAGTGCTTACGCAGGGCAGTCATAAAATGGTAGGCACCCTGTCTTACCCATCTTTGTGCCTGTAATACGAGGCACAGTGGTTGTCATATTCTTTTTTGGCTTTTTTATCGATTGGCATTTTATGATAATGAAATACTTAGCTTACAAAATATTTTATAATAGAAGTAATGAAGGGCCTAATCCACTGAGGAGTTATTTCATTTGTGATTGGAAGGTTTGGAGCCCAGATGGCAGAGGTACCTAAGATCAATATAAAAGTGTCCCTTTTGGCTTGGAAGGTTTGAAAACTCAAGGGACTATTTTTATTGTCATGTAAGGCCCTTTACATCCGATTCCCTAAAGCTTCTATTTTGCAAGAAGAATCTGTTTGCAAAAGATCATCACTAATTAGCGTAATAAGGATGACATACACAGTTCTGCATGCTAAAGACAAAGAATAAACATTGAGCTTTTATAGCAACACAGTATCTGCTTCCTTCTAAACAAAAAGAAGTACTATGCGGGCATTACTTCCTTGACAATGAGACTGGTGCCAATTAGTTGGTAATTAGAGAAGTTAGGGCCCTTTCTGACATGCTTATTTAGTCTCAATGTAAACATTTCCAACTATACCAGTTAATCACCAATTCAAACATCTGTTCTTAATATTGGTACAACAATCCCTGCATTGAAATCCTAAACACCAGTCTCTTCTCTTGGCACCTATGTTCTTGATAATGTTGTTTACATAATTCATCTGCCTAAGTACTTAATGTTTCGATGTTAATTTAGAGAAAATTATAAAAATATTTTGGGTTAATGGCATTCAAGTTAATGTAAGTATTCTATATTTTCTTGTCTTTGAAATGACAATATGAGGTTCACTTTAATTCCTCTCATCTCACTAAACCAACTTTTACAAATCTTTTCTGTGAAGGCCTTAAAGTAAATATTGTAGGCTTTTCAGGCTACATAGAGTCTCTGTTGCATATTTTTCTTTCTTTCTTTTCTTTTCTCCTTTTATACCCCTTGAAAAATGTAGAAATCACTCTTAAGGGCTGTATAAAAATGGACCATGGGCTGGATTTGATCCATAGACCATAAACTAAATGTTAATATAAACAGAGGGCATAGAACACTTACATAACAAGGCTCCTATGGGTGTCTATAACCGCTCAGAACTCATTACCACTTTGCCTCTATAACTGAAGGGTTTTTCTATCTGTATCTTGTCCACATGATCAAAAAATTGAAAACACCTAGGACGTTTTTAATGCTAGAGAGTGGCTAGAGCCCTCCCTGCACAGACCTACAGAATTATAAATTTTTATTGTTGGGAGAAATTATAGAACTTGTCCAATTTAAACTCTTATTTATGTTATAGATAATATAAATAAAAGCTCATAAATAAATGTGAGTAACTAACTTACAAATACTGGAGGGATAGCAGGCCTTCAAATGAGTCCTTATGTAATTCACTCAACTGATTGTCACTGAGAATTCTGAAAAATGGAAAGGTTACTTCTGAATCAAAACGCAAAATAATTAAAATGATTTACTGTACAGGACTAATTTCTACATGTGAGGGAGACCTGGGTAATGATAATGGTACCACCTAAACAACCTAATTCTTAGTTAATTTAGGGATGGTGATCTCTGCTCTGTTTTCATTCACATCTTTCCTGTCATGTCCTCCTCTGTGTCCCTCTCTCTCCCTCACACACACACACACACAACTATCCACTCCTCACACCAAAATGTGTATTTAGTACCTACTCTCTCGATCCCCAAGTCTCGTTCAGAACCCAACTGTGGGTGGCACCATCGTCAGCAGAACTGCCATTTCCTCCCGCTCTCTTTGCCTGAACCTTATTAAGGGAGCCCCACACAGAACTATGTCAAGGCTGCAAGTGAAGTTGTTCGATCCCACCCACCACTAAAAATATTGTTTCGGGGAACTAAAAAGTGCATTAAAATACACATAAGAAGAATGTCCCATTTAATACAGCAGCAGACTCACAGACTCTGAGAAGGGACTAGCAGTTACTAAAGGGGAGGTGTGGGGAAGGCTGGGTGTGGAGGGATGGAGAAGGGGATTGAGGGGTACTATACACATGGTGTGTGTGGGGTCACAGGGAAGACAGTGTAGCACACAGAAGACAAGTAGTAAACAATGTTTTTCATGTGAAATCTTCATCAGAGTGTATACCAATGACACCTTAATAAAAAAAAGTTAAAATGTCCATGTTAATAATTATGAAACAAATACCCATGTAACACCATTCATGTCAAGAACACTGCCAGCATCCCCGAAGCCCTCCGTGTGCCCTTTTCCCATCACAAACTGCTCACTGACCCACTAGAGGCAACCACTGTCCTGACTTTTTAACTCATCTCCCTGCTTTTGGAATGTGGTCTTACCTTTGAGGTGTCAGCCATAAACTACACAGTGCAGTCTTGCCTCTTCTTGAACTTAGTATATAAATGGAATCATATTATATATGTATTATTTTCTACATTGCTTCTTGCATTCAGCCTTACCTTGTAAATTCATTCTATTGTCACATGCAGCTGAGGTTGGTTTGCTTTAATGCCTAGTGTTACATGCTCAGCTACATGTGCCTAGTGAGTACTTGACAGTGGCTAGTGTGACTGAGAAGCTGAATTTTAATTTAATTAGTTTTAACTATTAAAAAAATTAAATTAGAAACTGATATTTGATGCAGTTATTGGAAAACATTTCAGTATTCTGCAATAACTCGGGCATATGATACTATTTTTCCAACTGTAAATTTTATGAAATCTAAAGAGAGAACAAGTAACTTCTGATAAAAATCTTGCAACTAAACTGAGATTTTATAGTGTTAGTATGGAAAAAGAATATAAATGTGTAAGTTTCATACCAATTGGAGGTAGAAATTATAATACTTTGGATATTTTAAAGACAGAAAAAATGCAGACTATCTTAACAATGTATATAATGATTACATGTTGAAATAATAATATTTTGGGCATAAGGTTTAAATAAAATGCCTTCACATTACATCTGTTTCTTTTTACTTTTATTTTTTAAGTGGCTACCAGAAAATTTAAGATTACTTATGTGCCTTGCATTACGTTTCTAAAGCGTAATATTCCATTGTATAACTATGCTAGACTTTATTTATTCACTCTACTGTTGGTGGACATCAAGATTTTTCTAGCTTTTGTTACTACAAACAGTGCTGCTTTAAACTTTCTTATACTTCTATTTTGATATGCATTTGCCTGAGTTTCTCTAGGGTCCAGGAGGGGTACAAAACTGTTCTAAGAAGTGCTAGCTATTTCAAGTTGGCAAATGGGAAAATGCCAAGTCTCTACTCCTCCAACCACCAGCTAAATCCCTAAGAGTGATGGAAAAGACATGATTAAAAACTCCACAACCTTACCGCAAAGTGTGGGAGCAGCTCCACAGATGCCTCCCTACCAGAAATGGCCTGGAATTACCCACAGGGTGACGAGCTGAAATGCTGCTGCAGAAGCAGGGGCAGCACGTGGCCCCAAATCCTTCCTCCTCAGGCCAGAGAGCAAAGGGCGTTTTCCTCTAGGTAGGGGCATCGGTGCTCAATAGGCCAGGGGCCCAGAACGTTGGGGAAGGGTGGGCGCTCTGTCTAGCCACCAGAAGCCACCTCCCACCTCCTCTGACTTTCAGGGAGTCCTTTAGGAATAACAAGCCCCAGCAGCTCAGGTCACCTCTGTCGGAGAGCCAGGAAACACAAGCAGGAGAATCTCAACTCAAAGATGAACTGCACTCAGGAATGACCAAATGACAAAGAAAGCCAGGTCCGTTACGGACAGAAAACAAAACCAAATGAGCTGATAGCCAATGAATCAGAGCGAAGAGAGGGAGCACGAGTGGAGTTTAGAATGGCAGAACTGATATCCTGAGTCAGAGAGTGCGTCCGTGAAAAAGAATCAACTCAGGATTACATGAAGAGTGTTATTATCAATAATAATAAAAAACCTCAATATATGCACCTTTGAAGAATAAATTAGGAAACAGAGATCCTGCCAATGATTTCTCCAGAATGCAGAATGAAGGGAATGGGAATAATCCGCAGAACAAGCCTGACACCTGAGTTTGCCCAAGAATGTTCACGCCTTTGCTTCACCTAGTCCCACAGGAAAGACAACCTGCTGGGCAGGATGGTTCGCACCCATTTCTTAACACCTGAGGAGCAGGAGAGTATACAGCCAGTGTCTACCAGAGTGGAGCAAGGGAGTGATAAGAGATCCACCACAGAAGAAAGTCTTTAAGATTTCAAAACCAAATGTCCCTTCCCTGGGAATCAGCTTCCTGGGAGGTAATACTAACAGTTTTACATCCTTCAAGCGCCTTGGGGATCTGAGAACATGCCATGTTGCTTTGTGAACTATTTCCACCAAGTTCTGCATATAAACATTCTGCTTTCCCTCACAGGGTCTGTTAGTCACATATTGATAT